TCATTTGTTAAGCTATCTTTTAATAAAACCTATCAATATATAATTACATTTTATTGAAAAACAAGAAGAAAAAGAAGGACCAAGAAACAAGAAACAAGAAGAAAAAGAAAAGGAAGAAAAAGAAGAAGAAACACTGTAACATGGAGACAAAAAAATCAATTGCCAGTAATCGTTTATCAATAATTCAACACCTGCACATGAAGACAAAAAATAACTAGGTACATCAACCGAGTATATGGTCTGACCTGGATTCGAGTGCCTCATACTTGCTGGGCCCTCGACCTGGCTTTGGTTCTGAGGCAACGGGATACGCCCCGAGGCCTGCCATGATGCAAACACACTCCGAGAGCACAAAGCCTGAATAGATGCGCATTCGGAAGCTGAAGAAGACAGGTGTCATGTACCACACACGGTACATAAAACTGTAGTCCCGGAAGATCTCTTTCCCCTCAGCAAACTGCAAGTACAAATCAGTAAGTATGGAATAAGTTAATGACTAAACCTTATTTCAAAGAGGAAAAAGGTCAAGAGAGAAGAAAAAAGCAGAAATATAGGAAGAAGAGGGAGAAGAAAATAGAAAAAAATACATTTAGAAAGTAGGGAAAGTGTGGGATGGAGGAAGGTGGAGAAACTGAGATGGAAGGCTTAAAGATAAAACAATATGTTCTTCTATAATGAAAATTATGACATTCATTAACCACATAACATTCAACTGAAATTCAATGCTTCAGAAAACATTAACACTTCATAATACAAAAGTGCCACATCAACAAATCAGATATAAATTCTTGATCTTAATGGTACATATTTATGACACTGATCTCATCTCATATCAGCATGGTTTACATTCAAGAGAAGTTTAACCACATGCCGCCAGGGAAAATGCTGTGCTCATTTTTTATTTTTTGGTGAAATATCTGCGCATAGATGGCTCTGCTAGTGCTTAGCCACAAAGGAGTCAATTAGTAGACCTTGTGACCTTGCCTAATTTCACCATTCCTTGAATTGGTGGGAAAAACATATTTTTTACTAATGCTATGAATATCAAAGGTGTTATTTTTATTACAGAAATTATAATTACTATAATGTTATAAACATTAGTAACAGCAAAATAAGATAACGTAAAATATTTTCGTAAATCAAGGAAAAGGGTAGACAGGCCAGACAGGCAGTACTCATAATTGGCTCATTGGTGACTTAGTACAAGTGTAGCCATCTAGGTGTAAAAACAATTAATAAAGTAAACTCACAGTGGGTATGGCATGTATGTATATGCCATCCCCATCAGCAATGAGTTAAAACTGTTGGCCAAAAACTGACAGTCTTCTCTACAGTCAGACATACCGAGAGGGGGAAGTAGTGTGAAGTCAAAAGGAAAGCCACAGCATACAACGGAACGACCCATATTCTCTGCAGCATGGACTTAAAACAGTCAACACCACCATCAATTGCTGTTCCCTTCAGCATATCTGAATATACCCGATACTTGTAGTATGGACCTGTTTGAAGAAAATGAGTTGACTAACATCATCATTATACCTTAAAAGTTATCTTTTACCATGTTATCTTCTCTTACTCTATTTTATGTGTTTCTGGAATGGATATCAAAGAGCATGGAAGGAAAGACCATATACATTACCTGTCAAAACACCAACATAGTTAAATGCATAATGGAAGACATCCATAGGTGATGGGTCAACCTCCTCATATTTAAGTTGGATTGCAAGGTTCTTTTTCTCTTCATCACTCTCAGATTTCTTCAACTGTCCACGTTTCTTCCAAGTGTCATGAACCTCAAAGCAAATGCCAACAAGCTGCAAAAATATATTAATCATGATCAAGTGCAAACCAGTATAGTGAAGGTCTTGTAATTACATGATTGAAGGAAACACATCAGCCATGCATTCTTTATATTTAATCCCCTGTGAACAGACTAAAGGTAATGGCACACTATCCACAACATGCATATTTTGGAAAAATACATCTATTTATCATTTATCAACATCATATGGGCTACAGTAAAAGAATGGTTCTTGATATACATATCAGAAGCTTCATTCATGATAGGCTATTATGTGTTCCAGCTACAGACTTTGATATTAGTGAGCTTTTTCTGCAAGTAGCTATTACATTCCCTGAAGGAAGCTTTTTTGAAAGAATATATAATCAAGTGATATACAAAATTTGTTTGGCACTACAAAAAAACATTGATATGCTCAATAGATTCAGCAAGTTCCAACCATAGTTCAAATATTCATATAAAGACTGACCTGGAATAAAATCATTTGTAAAATATTTACATAGGACACCATTTCAAAACTATGCTGGTCACAACAAATTAACTACAAGGATTAACGATAAAACAATATACTTCATGTCTTACTTTCAGTGGTACTAGGTAACATCATTGGATATTCTGTACAAGGACATGGCTTATAACAGACAAATTACGATGAAACTCTTAAAATCCCTGTTGAAAAGACAAGTTACATCTTTTATT